GTAGAGACAGAGTCTCACATTATCGCCCTCAGTAGAGTGCTGTGGCACCACAGCTCACAGCAACCTCCAACTCCTGGGCTTAGGTGATTCTCTTACCTCAGCTTCCCGAGTAGCAGGGACTATAGGCGAAGATTTTATCAATTTAACAATAGTGTATTTTGTTCAACTCATTCTTTGTTAATTGAATTCTTAGGGAGCTGTTTCCTCTTAGTTAGTATCATTTTTTAACCAAAGAAATTTGCCCTTACTGGCAGCTAATTTACAAATGTGGCATAAAAGTTTCATGAAGATATTCATGAGTTTTTATGTATATCTCTTGTTTAACAGTGGAGAAATTAGATGCAGAAAAACACAAATATTAAGCATGTTGACACGTGGAGGGGCAGCCAGGTTTGATTTCCACCCTGTGTTTCTACCTCTATATGGCATCACAGCAAAATTACCTTTATTAGACAGTTTTTTTTTAAAAAAAAAAAAAAAAAGAAAGTTCTCAGAGAACATGAACTTTTCTCTCTGACAAACATAGTCATAATAGCAACATGTGCTAAATGCTTACTCAGTGCCAGATGTGCATTTTATAGAAATTATCTCATTCGGGCCAAGCATGGCAAGCCTAGAATTCTGGGAAGCCAAGACAGATAGATTGCTTGAGCTCTGGAGTTTGAGACCAGCCTGAGCAACAGTGAGACTCTGTCTCTACAAAAAATAGAAAAATAAGGTGGGTGTTGTGGCCAGTGCTTAGAGTCCTAGCTGCTGGAGAAGCTGAGGCATAAAGATCACTTGAGCCCAAGACTTTGAGGTTACTGTAAGCTACGACACTATAGCACACAACCCCAGGGTAACAGAGTGAGACTCTGTCTCAAAAGGGGAAAAAAAAATTATCTCCTTCAATTCTCACAAAAACCTATTACGTCTACTTTACAGGTGGAGAAAGTGAGACCAAAAAGCCAAGAAAGGGCGACTGCACGACTACCAAGTGCAGTTACAGCAATTCTGGAGACTCCACTCTTAATCCCCATGCTATCCTGCCTTCTTTTTTATGTTTCTTCATTCAAAAACAATTTCCTACACTCTCACTCCCATATTAAGAATTACAAGACATTTGTTTAAAACGCCTTTCCCCTACTGGACCGTAAATTCCAAGAGGGAAGGAGCTTTGCTCTGTACCTAGCTACGCCCCCAACTTCTAAAGCAGTGCCAGGCACATAGTATGTGTTCAGTAAATATGTGGAATGAATAAATGGGGAAATTCCTAGCTTTCTCAAGAGAATATTATCAGACTGATGGATATATATCATGCATGGCCTATTGTTTTAAGAATTCCCACGGTCTAGGGCCGGTAAACAAGCACGAGATACTTACCTCTCTCTCCTTTATACGTCTCTAGCATTTTTATAAGTTTAGGTGCAACTGTTTTAAAGAGGTTCTCCAGTAATGTCAGATCATCTTCGGCTATTTTACCTTGTTTCTCTAGATAGTCGAGTAAATTTAGAGAGGTCTGCAAGAGAATCAATGGAGTTACATTTACTTGCCTACTGATTGCCCATTCATTTGTTAAATATCACCTGCAGGACCACTAGGCAACAGGTTTTGCTTTGACAATAAGATATAGTGTCAGACAAGTATAAAAGGGACTTTACCTAACAAATGCAATCAGTGTAATCTGGTTTCTTGTACCCTCAATGAATCCCCAACAAAAAATTAAAAAAAGTTTACCACTTAAAAGCAAATTAAAAACATAAATTGGATGTTTTTATACAGCATAGACATTAAGGCAATAAATAAAGGAGGATAGAAATGTCAAGAAGGGAAATGGAGTTATATATATAATGGCATAAGAAGGCTCTTGCTTTGAAAAGATAATCTTTTCTTGGGCGGTGCCTGTGACTCAGTGAGTAGGGTGCCGAGGGTCATGGGTTCAAACTCAGCCCCAGCCAAACTGCAACAAAAAATAGCCGGGTGTTGTGGCAGGCACCTGTAGTCCCAGCTACTCGGGACGCTGAGGCAAGAGAATCACCCAAGCCCAAGAGCTGGAGGTTGCTGTGAGCTGTGACGCCATAGCACTCTACCAAGGGCAACAAAGTGTGACTGTCTCTAAAAAAAAAAAAAAACAAGATAATCTTTTCTCCATTGAATTGACATATTTGTTAAAAATCAATTTTCTGTATACTTGGAACTATTTCTGGACTATTTTATGTCATTGATCCATATATCTTTATGTTAATAATACACATTCGGTTATCATAGGCTTATAAGTCTGTAAAGCAGGTGATATAAATTCTGTAATTTATAAAAGAAAAAAAAAGATACAGTATCTGCCTTCAAGGACCTCAATAGTATAGTACTACAAGCAAATCTCTGTACAATCTATATTAATACTAGGTACAAAATACATATAGCTCTCTACATAATAGGCACAGTGCTTGCTGAATATTAACCTCAAAACAATCCAACAACTCCAGGTCAACACTGTTATAATCCCCATTTTAGAGATGCCTCAGTTGAGGCACAGAGAGGTTCCAGTAACTTGCCCAAGGTCACAAAGCCAATAAGTGGCAGAGCCAGTACACATGATCCAAAGTATATTTTATTAACCGTTAACCTGCCTGTGATCACAGGTTTTTTTTTCTTATTGTTTGTTTCTTTGTTTTGTGACAGAGCCTCAAGCTATTCCCCTAGGTAGAGTGCCCTGTCATCAAAGCTCACAGCAATCTCCAAGTCCTGGGCTCAAGCAAGTCTCCTGTCTCAGCCTCCCAAGTAGCTGGGACCACAGGCGCCCGCTTCAACGCCTGGCTATTTTTTGGTTGCAGCCGTCATTGTTGTTTTGGCGGGCCGGGCTGGATTCAAACCCGCCACCTTAGGTGTATGTGGCTGGCGCCTTAGCCATGTGAGCCACAGGCATCAAGCCTGTGATCACAGTTTTAAGTGATATAATTGATTAGAGAACCAGCAAAACAGAGATACCAAAAAAATTAGGAGAAAATGTTTTGAAAAGATTTTATATTTGATATTTTATTTTATTTTAGACAGTCTCACTCTGCCACCCTGGGTAGAGTGCTGTGTCATCACAGCTCACAGCAACCTCAAACTCTTAAGCTCAAACATCCTCTTGCCTCAGCCTCCCAGCTAGTTTTTCAATTTTTAGTAGTGAGGTGGTCTCGCTCTTGTTCAGGCTGGTCTCAAATATCTGAGCTCAAGCAATCCAACCACCTCTGCTTTCTTTTTTTTTTTTTTAAATCTACCTAATAAAGGTAGTTTTTGCTGTAATATAACATAAAGGTAGAAACACAGGGCAGAAATCAAACCTGGCTGTCCCTCCACACGTCAATATACTAAATATTTGTGTTCTTCTGCATCTAATTTCTCCACTGTGTTAGGATTACAGGCATGAGCCACCACACCTGGCCCTGTATTTGATATTTTAAAAGAAAGTACTCTAAAGTACTTCTATTGGGTAAAAAATCACAAATCTACTAGTCTTGTTTTAACACTGAATTACACATGGGGTGGAAGACACCATAATCTTTTCAGTGATTAGGGTTTCTCAGGGTATTAATTTGGCTATGAAAAATTTTTATGAACAAACTATGAATCCTGCAGAAAAGAATAATCAGAAAGTGAGTGCCTGAGCCCTGGGTGTTTCTTAACTCTAGCTTGACGAGTTCTGGAGATCATTGGAAGCAGTGAGGAAATGAAGGAAGAGGGCTCGGCACATGTGGCTCAAGTGGCTAAGGCGCCAGCCACATACACCTAAGGTGGCCGGTTTGAATCCAGCCTGGGCCCGCCAAACAACAATGATGTCTGCAACCAAAAAAAATAGCTGGGCGTTCTGGCGGGCGCCTGTGGTCCCAGCTACTTGGGAGGCTGAGGCAGGAGACTTGCTTGAGCCCAGGAGTTGGAGGTTGCTGTGAGCTATGATGCCACAGCACTCTACCCAGGGGGACAGCTTCAGGCTCTGTCTCAAAAAAAAAAAAAAAAAAAAAATGAAGGAAGAGTTCAAGATGACTTTGCATGGTGACATCACTCATTTATTCACTGTTCATCTGTGCCACACAGCAGGCCCTACACAAGTTGCTCATGGGCAGTGGTGATAACTGAATTGTGTCTTTAAGAGGGACAAAGCCTTCACTGACAGTGCGGGAAGGGGTATTCCCAGCAAAGAAAACCATATGTGAAAATGATGAGAAACATAAATCTAGTTGTTAGGAGGTTTTTGGTGGCTTCAGCAAGAATTGCTTCATCAGGCTGGTGCCCGTAGCACAGTGATTACGGCGGCAGCCACAATGCTGAGGCTGTTGGGTTTGAACCCAGCCTGGGCCTGCTAAACAACAATGACAACTGCAACAGAAAAATAGCCAGGCATTGTGGTGGGCGCCTGTAGTCACAAGGCTGAGGCAAGAGAATTGCTTAAGCCCAAGAGTCTGAGGTTGCTGTGAGCTAAGACGCCACCGCACTCTACCAAGGGTAATATAGTGAGACTCTGTCTCAAAAAAAAAAAAAAAAAAAGAATTGTTTCATTGAATTGATGCAGACTGAAGCCAAACTGGAATGTAACTAAGAGTTGTCCTAATGAAGAGAGAGATTTAGCAGTAAAGAGAACAAGGGCAATAGAACAGCACCACAGAGAGAGGAAGTGCTAATGAGAGTGTGTCTGAGTGTGTGGAGAGTTAAGTGTGGGTGTTAGAGTGTGTGTGAGTGTGTGTGTGGAGAGAGTGTGTGTGAGTGTGTGTGGAGAGAGTGCATGAGTGTAGAGAGAGTGTGTGTTTGTGTGTGGAGAAGGTGAATGTGTGTGTGATTGTGTGTGGAGAGAGTGTATGTGGAGAAAGTATGTGTGAGAGAGTGTGTGTTTGTGTGTGGAGAAAGTATTGTGAGTGTGTGTGTGTGTAGAGATAGTGTGGGTGTGGAGAGTGTGTGTGTGAGTGTGTGGAGAGTAAGTGTGGGTGTTAGAGTGTGTGTGTGTGTAGAGTGTGTTGAGAGTGTGTGAGTGTAGAGAGAGTGTGTCTGTGTGTGGAGAGAGTGAATGTATGTGTGATTGTGTGGAGAAAGTATGTGTGAGAGTGTGTGAGTGTAGAGAGTGTGCATGTGAGAGTGTTGAGTATGGAGAGACAGTGTATGTGTGGAAAGTGTGTATGTGTGGAGAGTGTGTGAGAGTGTTGCGTGTGGAGAAAGAGTGCGTGTGAGAGAGATTTCGTTGAGTGTTGAGAGAATATGTGTGTGGAGAGTGTATGTGAGTGTGTGTGGAGAGAGTCTGTGAGTGTGGAGAGAGTGTGTGTGTGAGTGTGTTTGTAGAAAGTGTCTGCGAGAGTGTGTGTGTGGAGAGGGCTGAGTGTGGAGAGAGAGTGTGTGGTGTGTGTGAGAGAGATTGCGTGTGAATGTTGAGAGTGTATGTGAGGGTGTATGGAGACTGTGTGTGAGAGTGTTGAGTGTGTGGAGAGAGTGGGGGGGGGTG